GTCTGACCTCTGTCATTGCCAACAAAGGATATATAACAAAGTATTGAGATGAACTTTTCATATTGACCAAATACTTATTTTCCACCATAATTTGCAAATAAATTCTTTCCAAATCAGCCAATGTGATTGTCTGGATATTTTTTCTCATTTTGTCTCTCATAGTTGAGGTCTACCTGTGATGCCAATTACAGGCCTCTCTCATCTTTTTAAGTGGGAGAACTTGCACAATTGGTGGCTGACTAAATACTTTTTTGCCCCACTGTATATAGAGAGAGAGAGAATATGGCCCAAATTGTAGCATTTCAAATATATGTCAATATATTTGGGAGGTATATTTTTCTTTCATATGGGTTTGCTCTGCAGCACAACAGACTGGCTCTTTGTTCTGCTTTTCCCTTTCCCAATCTGAGCTCTGCTGTATTTCATGAAGCTGATAACAGGTCAGATTGAGGTACTTACCCTGTTTGCATTTAAAACTTACATTTAATGAGACATTCATTAATACAGAGCTTAATTAAATTGTGCTTTTTATATATGTCTGGAGTTCACCTTTAACCTCCCTAGCGGTCTGATTATGTCCATATTTCTGTGCTCAAAGCGGTACATTTATTTGCATGGAAATATGTATTTTTTTTATTGTAGGCCTATAATTTTTAGGAATAACTCCCTGAAATCTGTCCGAACAAGAGTCTAGTAAACATCCCGGGTATGTTAAAATTTGAAACACAAAATCATAAATTATAATTTAATAAATAACCATAAAAAATAATAATATAATAATAATAAATGTAATTCAATAATATAATCAAACCAAAAACACTGAAATGTGAAATATAGCGCCAAGTTCGCACATCACTGAGCAAAGTCGCAAAATCGTTTTCAGTGTCTGATGAGGAATTTCCCCCACGAATCATTATCACTCAATTCTGCAAGTGGTTCTGATTTACTATCGCTGTTCTCTAGCTGGTCTAAAACCGCTTTTGACCTAAAGGGACGCTTTTTGGACGCCATGGACGTTTCTCAGTTTCCAGGCAGAAAGAACAGTAAAAATGCAGGCAGGGCGCCGGACAAAGCACTCGGGACAAAATGTATGTGAAATGGTTTGATACAGTAATGTTTTACTATGTGATTTTAGTGTATGTAGTGAATGTCACTTTTAAAATTTTCACATTTCCCGCCAGTTCCGTCCCCCGTACGTCCCGACGTTGCAGGGAACGGAACCCGGAAGACAGATGCCGGCATCGGCCGGAGGACATTACAGGGGACACTGCAGGAGGGACATCGCGGGAGCACAGGACAAGGTAAGTGCAGAAGAGATCCTGGAGCAGCGCTGCATGGTATTCCCGAGTGTATGTAGCTTGGGGTTACCGCTTGTGGTGCTGAAACTTTACCCCGAGCCACACTCGGGAATACCTCCAGGGAGGTTAAAGAGACATGTGGAGGTTGTGTGTGTGAAGCAAAAGTAACAGTTTTTTTTCTTTAGGTATGTAGCACCCTCCTGGATAGCTAGGGGGAGCTAGATTCCAAATTGCTAGTTAGAGGCTGAAAAGCAGCCTGTGTAATAGTCAGAGGGAGGTTAAATTCAGGTCAGAGCTGAGAGGCTCTGCAGACCAGTACTCTGGGACAGCAGGGGCTCTAGAGTTTTGGAGAAAATTCTAGAAGCAGTGGGAGGGAGGGAGGGAGGGAGGGAGGGAGGGAGGGAGAAGTGGCTGGTCTGCACGCTCAAGGAATCCTGGCCAATCCTCAACAAAAGCCTTGGCATGGGGCCAGGACATCCCTTAAAAGTGAGAGAGCCTGCTCAGCAGCAAGAGATTTTGGGTGGAAGATGGAGAAGTGATGCTGGAGAGCAGGAGCCTGGGAGGGGGCCCAGATGGAAAGAGGCTCACCTACAGGCAGAGGAGCTGGAAAGGAGGAAAGCTCAGGACCTCATCGACCGCCAGAGCAAGGACCACATGCAGCAGGAAGGAGCAGTTCAGCAGGAAGGCCTGAGAGCCACCAACCCACCAGCTCATAGGAGGAGGACTGAGTGAGTGGGGGGAAACTGGATTAGCTTTCTACCCAGGATTGTCTTCCATTTAACATGACAGACATTGGATCCCCTGCCCAGGGATTCACCCAGAACAGCTGGATAAGGAGTATCTGTTGTCTGAGGTGGTACAACAGGAGATGCTGTTTAGCTCTCCAGAAGAGACATTTTTGCTGTAAAGAATTGTATATAGTTACATTAAGTTTGTTCTTTGTTGCCATTCCATTGGGCATCCCATACACCCCTTCCAAGTTTTAATTTCCCTAATAAAATCCAAAAAACAAGCTCAAGGACTGGTTGCTGTCTTCTTGTTGCAAGTCTGAATGGAAGATGCAGGTTGCCTGGCTGTGCAGGACTATAGGGGGACCCAAAACTCCAGTGACTCCTAAGGGAGTAGTGCTACAGGTAAATATGAAGATTTTCATTTGAACATTTTGTATTCCTCTATCCAGCTAGCAGGTGGGACTTTAAAGCAGACAATTCAGCTTGACATATGCTGTACGTCCTCTGATCCTCAGCCTTCCCCCTCCCTCTTACACAGTCACAGATAGTTTCCTCATTTTAAGAAGATAAATACTTTTTCTAAATTCTTTAATAGTGATGTGATGTCACTGGTCTCTAGTGAATGGATAGGCTAGATTCTCAGTGATGTCACCGGTCTCTAGTGAATGGATAGGCTAGATTCTCAATGATGTCACCAGTCACTAGTAACTGGATAGGCTACATTCCCAATGATGTTACCTGTCTCTAGTGAATGGATAGGCTAGATTCTCAATGATGTCACCAGTCACTAGTAACTGGATAGGCTACATTCTCAATGATGTTACCTGTCTCTAGTGAATGGATAGGCTGCATTCTCAGTAATGTCACTGGTCTATAGTGAATGGATAGGCTAGATTCTCAGTAATATCACTGGTCTCTAGTGAATGGATAGGCTAGATTCGCAATGATGTCACCAGTCTCTAGTAACTGGATAGGCTAGATTCTCAATGATGTCACCAGTCTCTAGTAACTGGATAGGCTACATTCCCAATGATGTTACTGGTCTCTAGTGAATGGATAGGCTGCATTCTCAGTAATATCACTGGTCTCTAGTGCATGGATAGGCTAGATTCTCAGTAATGTCACTGGTCTCTAATGAATGGATAGGCTAGATTCTCAGTAATGTCACTGGTCTCTAATGAATGGATAGGCTAGATTCTCAGTGATGTCACCGGTCTCTAGTGAATGGATAGGCTGCATTCTCAGTGATGCCACCGGTCTCTTGTTAAAGTGTTACTAAACCCTCAACAGTAAAATCAGTCTGTATACAGTAAAGCATGCTTGTTGATCTCATTGTGGAATGTAAGGGGTTCATCCTCTGCATCGTATAAAAAGGCTGTTTGACCCTGTCTTCTCTGATCCTCCCATTCTTCCAGTGTCCTCCTCTTACCTCCTGATAAGACATATAGTGTGGAGTCACACTGCACGAGCTTAGTTTGGTGTGTATTGCTAGCAAGATTTTTTTCATCTTGGGAGAGTGCATGTGATCAGTACATGGCCAATCAGCACTGTCCAGACAAAGGTCAGGGGTTCTGAGCAGAAAGAAAACTCCTCCTTCAAGCTTTTACATGTGCTCGGGCTAGACACTGATAGCAATCACAAGACTGCTCTAACTGCTGATGAGAAAAGGTATTTAGCAGTTTATATTTACTAAAATAATTGCATTGCCATGTTCTGTTTATTGTGGGAGACCAGATATAGTGAATGCAGGGTCCGGGGAGACCAAATATAGTGAATGCAGGGTCCGGGGAGACCAGATATAGTGAATACAGGGTCCTGGGGAGACCAGATATAGTGAATACAGGGTCCTGGGAGACCAGTTATAGTGAATGCAGGGTCCTGGGAGACCGGATATAGTGAATGCAGGGTCCGAGGAGACCGGATATAGTGAATGCAGGGTCCTGGGAGACCGGATATAGTGAATGCAGGGTCCGGGGAGACCAGATATAGTGAATGCAGGGTCCGGGGAGACCAGATATAGTGAATGCAGGGTCCGGGGAGACCGGATATAGTGAATACAGGGTCCTGGGAGACCGGATATAGTGAATGCAGGGTCCTGGGAGACCGGATATAGTGAATGCAGGGTCCGGCGAGACGGATATAGTGAATGCAGGGTCCGGGGAGACCGGATATAGTGATTGCAGGGTCCGAGGAGACCAGATATAGTGAATGCAGGGTTCGGGGAGACCGGATATAGTGAATGCAGGGTCCGGGAGACCAGATATTGTGAATGCAGGGTCCGGGGAGACCAGATATTTTGAATTCAGGGTCCAGGGAGACCAGATATAATGGATGCAGGGTCCTGGGGAGACCAGATATAGTGAATGCAGTGTCCGGGGAGACCAGATATTGTGAATGCAGGGTCCGGGGAGACCGGATATAGTGAATGCAGGGTCCGGGGAGAGCGGATATAGTGAATACAGGGTCCTGGGAGACCGGATATAGTGAATGCAGGGTCCGGGGAGACCGGATATAGTGAATGCAGGGTCCGGGGAGACCGGATATAGTGAATGCAGGGTCCGGGGAGACCAGATATAGTGAATGCAGGGTCCGGGGAGAGCGGATATAGTGAATGCAGGGTCCTGGGAGACCAGATATAGTGAATGCAGGGTCCTGGGAGACCAGATATAGTGAATGCAGGGTCCTGGGAGACCAGATATAGTGAATGCAGGGTCCGGGGAGACCAGATATAGTGAATACAGGGTCCTGGGAGACCGGCTATAGTGAACACAGGGTCCTGGGAGACCGGATATAGTGAATGCAGGGTCCGGGGAGAGCGGATATAGTGAATACAGGGTCCTGGGAGACCAGATATAGTGAATGCAGGGCCCTGGGAGACCAGATATAGTGAATGCAGGGTCCTGGGAGACCGGCTATAGTGAACACAGGGTCCTGGGAGACCGGCTATAGTGAATGCAGGGTCCGGGGAGACCAGATATAGTGAATGCAGGGTCCGGGGAGACCGGATATAGTGAATGCAGGGTCCGGGGAGACCGGATATAGTGAATGCAGGGTCCGGGGACACCGGATATAGTGAATGCAGGGTCGGGGAAGACCGGATATAGTGAATGCAGGGTCGGGGGAGACCAGATATAGTGAATGCAGGGTCCGGGGAGAGCGGATATAGTGAATACAGGGTCCTGGGAGACCAGATATAGTGAATGCAGGGTCCTGGGAGACCAGATATAGTGAATGCAGGGTCCGGGGAGACCAGATATAGTGAATGCAGGGTCCTGGGAGACCAGATATAGTGAATGCAGGGTCCGGGGAGACCAGATATAGTGAATACAGGGTCCTGGGAGACCGGCTATAGTGAACGCAGGGTCCTGGGAGACCGGCTATAGTGAATGCAGGGTCCGGGGAAACCAGATATAGTGAATGCAGGGTCCGGGGAGACCGGATATAGTGAATGCAGGGTCCGGGGAGACCGGATATAGTGAATGCAGGGTCCGGGGACACCAGATATAGTGAATGCAGGGTCCGGGAAGACCAGATATAGTGAATGCAGGGTCCTGGGAGACCAAATATAGTGAATGCAGGGTCCGGGGAGACCAGATATAGTGAATGCAGGGTCAGGGGAGACCAGATATAGTGAATGCAGGGTCCGGGGACCAGATATAGTGAATGCAGGGTCCGGGGAGACCGGATATAGTGATTGCAGGGTCCAGGGAGACTGGATATAGTGAATGCAGGGTCCGGGGAGACCAGATATAGTGAATGCAGGGTCAGGGGAGACCAGATATAGTGAATGCAGGGTCCGGGGACACCAGATATAGTGAATGCAGGGTCCGGGGACACCAGATATAGTGAATGCAGGGTCCAGGGACACCAGATATAGTGAATGCAGGGTCCTGGGTTTAGGAACATTTTAATGAAAAGGCTACATTTCCATAGAACTGGTTGGTTCATGCTCGAATATGAATATTCTATCTTACATCTACAAACGTGAAAGTTTACAGATGACAGATTAATGTTCTCCTCTGTGTATATTCCTGTTTTTTTGGGTTTGGAGGTGGAGGAAAAAATGAGCAATCTGTCTGTGACGGGTCCTTTTTCTTCCACGCTTCTTCTCCCAGAAAGAACATTACACTACAATGGTACAATATGATGCATTTCTACAAGATGATAATTCCGAGGAAGAAAACGTTATTTATCGATAATGAGCCTTCATCTCTGCATTCGCCTAATGATAACTCAATTTTAATGTCAGGATTTCTTGATTACGGCTTGAGGACATTTATTAGTCATTAGAAAGGTCACATTCACTTATTTCCCTTCCCGCCGTGGAGTACGTGCTGTAGAAATACTCAGCGAGTCGGCGAGATTGCTTTAATGTCACGTACGCTGTGACAGAGGACTCTTGTGTTCACCGCTGCGGACACGTGAGTTCATCTACACCTTGGGTGTGAAGGATAAATTGGACTGTCTATTTAGATTTGGATGTTTACTGACCGTTCCTAAAATGAATGTGTGCTTGGGCCAGAATGTGCTGAAATTGGGTGGAATCTTGTAAAGGTCTGTTCGCATCACCCAATTTGCATGGAGCTCATGGAGCACGTGGAAACAATGCTGTCACCCAATAGAGGCTAAAAGTGGCTGTTTCAGAACACATTGCATGGGCATGGTCATCCGTTGTCACCATCGAGAAGTCCACCCTGAGAAATAGTGGCCAGTCATCGCTGGAGTGCAGGTAGACAGCAAGTGTTGCAAAGAGACTGCAGGATGGCAGCAGCACTGAGCTATAACCAAGGATAAAGAAAAGAACAGTATTATATTTTTTCAAAAAATATTAAAATTGTTTATGATTAGGAATGAGTTTGGGTTTCAGTCCAAACCCAAAAGGAAACGGTCAGTACTGTCCCAATCCAATCTGCAGCTGCACTTACACAAAGGTGGGGATGCTCATGACATTATTGACCTAATGTGACCATCAATGATATCACAAGCATCACTGCCCCTTTTGTGTATGTGCACCAGTAGGGGGGGGGGGGGGGGGATGGGTATGGATAGCGCTAGTACCATTCCCAAATATAGCAACTATCCCCACCCCTTTGTATACATTGTTGGTGAGTGCTCAGGGTGCGATCATTAGTACACGGCCATTGGTGGGTGCACATAGGTAATTGTGTTTTTTGCAGATTTTTTTTTCTGCAGGTTGGTGGTTATCATTCATCAATCAATCCTGTATAATAATAATAATTCATCATGACTGACGTGGATCTACATACCTGGATGATGTGATTACAATGCGTCATTTAGTGGGGTTGTTATTTTTAATAAAGAACTTGTCAAAAAGTATCAGTATGTTTACCATTTTCTTTTTTTTTCTTGAGTCATGGTAAGAACTAATGTAGGATGGTGGGGCGATATGTTATTTTTACAAGGGGTCACCTAGACTCCAATAAGCCCCCCCATTCGTAGTCCCCCACAACCACTGTGCCAAGGTTGTGAGGAAGAGGCCCTTGGCCTCATCAACTTGTCAAAATATATGTTTGTTTACTATTTCCTTTTTTTTTTCTGAGTTGGGGAATTCATTAACATAGGATGGTAGGGCAGCAGCATGTTATTTTTAATGGGGGGTGTCTAGATTCCAATAAGCCCCCATCCCAAACTTCCACAAACACCAGGTCAAGGTTGTGGGAAAGAGGCCCTTGTCCTCAACAACATGGGAACAAACTGTTTTTCTAGTGGGGCCTGTTGAGAGCATGTGGCCTGTTCTGGTTAAGGACAGGAGGGGCTGCATGCACCCCCCTCCCTTTTCCTAGTATTGTTCAGATAAGCATCTGGTATGAAATTGAGGGGGAGGGGGGTTTCCATGCTTCTTTTTTTTGGTTTGTTTGGGGTCCTTGTTGACATCTATACCAGACCTTCATCAAAAATAAGGCTCTGATATTTATTTAAACTTTTTTTTGTATGGGGTTCCCCTTTTAACATCTATACCGGACCCTCATTCTGGATAAGGGTCTGTAACGGAAAAAGAGAATCCCTGGCCACTTTGTTTACAAACAGAAGTTAGCAGCTGGGAGCTGTCATTTACAATACATTTCAGTGGCATATTTTTTTTGTAAATCTCTGTTTGGCTGTAGTAGATTGTATACATCATACAGATGTGCCACTTAACAGGCAGGTGAAGGGCATCCCCCAAGGAGTGTTATTTAAAGGGATTATTCAATTTGCAAAGAGCAGAGATGGGAAATAATGAGAGGGGTTCAACAAAAAAGAGGTACCCTTCCCAAAATACTAACTAAAAATATAACGAAAATAAATATAAATTAACATTTTTTATATATATATATATATATATATATATATATATATACATACATACATACATACATACATACACACACACACTATAATGCCAAAAGTATTGGGCCAGCCTTACAAATCATTGGATTCAGGTGTTCCAATCACCTCCATGGCCACAGGTGTATAAAATCATCACCTAGGCATGCAGACTGCTTCTACAAACATTTGTGAAAGAATGGGTCGCTGTCAGGAGCTCAGTGACTCCAAGCGTGGTCCCGTGATAGGTTGCCACCTGTGCAATAAGTCCATCCGTGACATTTCCTGGCTACTAAATATTCCACAGTCATCTGTTAGTGGTATTATAACAAAGTGGAAGCAACTGGAAACAACAGCAACTCAACCACCAAGTGGTAGGCCACGTAAAATGACAGAGTGGGGTCAGCGCATGCTGAAGCGCACAGTGTCCAGAAGTCACCAAGGGGTTTATTTACTAAAGCTGGAGAGTCCAAAATCAGACTCCCTTCTGCATAGAAACCAATCAGCTTCCAGGTTTCATTGCCAAAGCTTCATTGAACAAGCTGAGGTTAGAAGCTGATTGGTTTCTATGCAGAAGGGAGTCTGATTTTGGACTCTCCAGCTTTAGTAAATAAACCCCCAACTGTCTGCAGAGTCAATAGCTAGAGACCTCCAAACTTCATGTGGACTTCAGATTAGCACATCAAGAGTGTGTAGAGAGCTTCATGAAATGGGTTTCCATGGCCGAGCAGCTGCATCCAAGCCTTACATTACCAAGTGCAATGCAAAGCGACGGATGCAGCAGTGTAAAGCACGCCGCCACTGGACTCCAGAGCAGTGGATACATGTTCTCTGGAGTGACCAATCACGCTTCCCTGTCTGGCAATCCGATGGACGTGTCTGGGTTTTGCGGATTGTCAGGAGAACGGTACTTGCCTGACTGCATTGTGCCAAGTGTAAAGTTTGGTGGAGAGGGGATTATGGTGTAGGGTTGTTTTTCAGGGGTTGGGCTTGGTCCCCTAGTTCCAGTGAAGGGAACCCTTAAGACATTAGCATACCAAGACATTTTGGACAATTTCATGCTCGCACCTTTGTGGGAAAAGTTTGGGGATGGCCCCTTCCTGTTACAACATGACAGAGCACCAGTACACAAAGCAAGGTCCATAAAGACATGGATGAGCGAGTTTGGGGTGGAGGAACTTGACTGGCCTGACCTCAACCCGATAGAACACCTTTTGGATGAATTAGAGAAGACCTTCTCGTCAGACAAAAGTGTCTGACCTCACAAATGCACTTCTGGAGGAATGGTCAAACATTCCTATAGACACACTCCTAAACCTTGTGGACAGCTTTCCCAGAAGAGTTGAAGTTGTTATAGCTGCAAAGGGTGGGCCAATAATGCCTATGGACTAAGACTGGGATGCCATCAAAGTTCATGTGCGTGTAAAGGCAGGCGTCCCGATACTTAGTGTAGTAATTGAGATTTATTCAAAGTAAATTAAACAATAGATGTGCACTCATAAACATGGAGCTAGGCTAGGCATATCTCCATTGCGGAAAGTCCAGGGCAAAGGTGAATGGATGGATGGGTGACTATACACACACAATAACCACTTGAATACTGGGTGTCATTTTAAATTGGCACAGGGACTACAGCCATTTGTCCCAGCACCATTGTGTCTACATGGCAAGCTTAGTGACATCACAGCACTTCCTCTGAGCACAGAGGTTCGGGGAAAGCTGCTGCAGCAGATCACTGCTATAGTGATCTATTGCTGGTTGATTGCAGCCAGCAATAGATACCTACAGGAAATGTTCTGTTGCTGTAGAGCTGCATGGGGGGGTCTAGATCAGATCTCCACTGACCCTAAATTGGACCCTCAAGAAGAAGGCGAAAAAAGATAAAAATAGAAAAAATGGAGATTTTGAGAAGGGAATATTTTTTTATTTATATAAACATAAATAATACATTTTCTTTTTTTAATAAACCGTTTTTTTTAATAAAAAAAAAAAAAAAATCCCTCCTCAGTTTAAACCCGAGGTCCCAACAATCAATACACTGCAATAAAAAAAAAAAAATATATATAATTTATCTATATATCCTAAAAATAAAGATATTCTCCACTCTCCCAGAATAATTCCCAGGTTCTAACAATGCTGTCAGATGATCTGGATTCCATTGCATTTATGGTGCAAGCGTCAATCGCTCATAAAGCCGATCACAACACTGCCCCTGACTACCTCACCAACCTGATCCCCAAGTACCGCCCTACCCGTACCCTTCGCTCCTCACAGGACCTCCTTCTATCCTGCTCCCT